GGAGGACAGGAAAGGGGGCGGGGGTCGGTGAGGGGGCCGGGGCGGGGCGAAGTGGGAAGCACGCGCGCACCAGGTGCGCACATGCGGGGCGACCTGTACAGGCACGTCACTGGCTTCACAGCCGGCCTCGCCGTCGACAGAGCCTTGGGAAACCTGGCACACCCCTTGCGCGTGCCAATTTAGGGCTTCCAGGGGCCGCCTGCGCGCCAATGCAGGCCCGACGGCCGGGTCGCGCGCCCGTGTCGCCGTGGCGCTGACAGGGGGCATCTAGTGCCGCGGCCGGGCCGCGCGGGGCGCGGCCGGGGCGGCGTGGCCCGCAAAGCCCGGCTGAGAATGCCCACCTGCAGGGCCTTGAAAATGGCCACGTCCTCAGAGTTGGAGCCAGACAGGACCTGGGGCATCAGGAGGGCAAGGGTGACTGGGAAGATGCCAGCAGGCGCGGCGGACAGCAGGGGTGCCGCGAGGCATCACAGGGCATGCATTGCGCGCGGCGGGGCCGCGGGTGGCACATTGGGCGTGCCGGCGAGCTGTGAGCGGGCACCCCGGGCCAGGGGCGCCTCGCGTTGGGGCGGGGGACGGGGGCGCGCGCATGCAGATGCGCACGCGCGCGCGGCGCGCGTGGCGGCAGGGGGGTGGGGGCCCGCTCACCGTGGGGTCCTCGGCAATCATGGACTTGGCCAGCATAAGGCCGTGCTCGCGCACCAGGCGCACGGCGGCCTCAGAAATCTCATCCTCATCCTGGGGGCGTCAGGGGGGAGGCGCCAGGTTAGGCGCGGGCCGGGCCGGGGCGGCGGCGGCGGGCGGCGCGCGCGCGCGGAAAAAGGTCAATTCAGCCCAATGGGCGGGCCGGCATTGCGCCGTCTGGGCGGGGACGCACCAGGTTGCGGGCGACGATGGCCAGGCGGGAGTCGGCGCTGAGGTCGAGCGCCAGGGGGGAGCGCAGAATGGCGTCCGCGGCGGCGGCAGTGCGGGCATCAACCCGGTTCGCGACTGCGGCCTGGGTGGCGCCGCGGCGCGGGGCCTCGGCGAGCACCACCCTGCGCGTGGTGACTGCAGGGCGAATTACCCCGATCAGTTTGCTACGCCATCCCGCCAGGGTGGCGGAATGGGCTTGGGTGAGCTGCATCGCCGTGGGCGTGGTCTGTGTGCGGAATGCCGAGATTGGGCTGGGCGAAAGGCCCTAGGCAATTGATAAGCACCACGATACCCTCGGGTGCAATGGGTATACAATTGGGCGGAATGAAGGCGGCGCGATAAAGGGGAGCAGAATTCGGAGCCTCTAACACCACAGGCCATCCAACGCGACTTGCGCTGAGGCCCCCGCGCCCGCACTGATGCAAATATGGATGCGCTCTTATCCCCTACATTCTCATACGGGGCTGCTAGGGCTGACCCAGCCGTGTCGGAGCAGTGCCAACGATGGCAGCGGCCTTGCCCCGGTGACCCAGACCCTCTCAATGCTTCAGGCCCCTCAGCCGCTTCATTAGCACGCCCCTTGACCATTCATGCGATCACACCCGGCCCTGTGGCCGGCAGGCTGCGTGCAAGGCGCCGATCGCTTGCTGCACCCTGAGCAGGCATATTTGCCTGTCAATGCTGGCATGACCGAGCAGCCCAGACCCGGCGGCAGATACATGCATGTTTAGCTGTGCATGATCCCACTCAGTGCTGCTTTCTTGACACCTGCTCGCGTGTCCACAGCGACGGGGGCCCATATCTGGCAGCATTGCGGTTGCTCATGACCCTAACACATGCAAACAAATGGCTGCAAGTCTCACATAAACAACATGCAAGCAGAGAAATTGGAGAATGGATTTGACGGGTTGTGGCGGGGAGGTTGTATGAACCGAGGTGGAAGCTGCCGCATGCCTCATTGGGCTGGGGATCTCTGGAATCTCCCACCAGATGTGGCAGCTGCGGTGTCCCTCAACCGCGTGTCCTGTCACAGGGGCCAAAAGCCAAGAGACAGGCCAGAAGAGACACGCAGTGCTTGTAGCACGAAACGTGCGGCGCTCCGAGCCTGCCAGGGTGCAGCCGCTCTGACAGGCCGGCAGTGAGGTCGCGTGCGACACAAGGGCTGAGGGGACCTTTTTGTGAGGGGACCTGCACACGCTATTCCAGAAACCATGCAAAAGACGCCCAGCCACAGCCAAATCCTGTGCGTCTACAACCTTATCAGTCAACGGTCAAATGCGTGGTCGAAGTGGCAGTCAAAGCTAACTGAACCAACATAACAGCGTCCAGCAAGGGCGCTGATACGGCCCTGAGTGCCAGCATGGGCCAATCCACTCCTTGCCATTCGCTGCAGCGCCCGCCGAGCGGCCGGGGTCGCCGGCGGGCCCACGTCTCGCACTCAGCACCGCCCATCCAGGCAGTACAGCACGATCTTGCCGCCGCCCGCGCCCGATTTTGGGTCAAACTTGAACTCCAGATCTTCTCCGTGGGCGCCCTGCCACTTGCCGATGCCGCCCACAATGCTGATCTTGAAAGCCAAGGCGCTGCCCGCCTTGAAAACCCCAGAGGCATGGCCCACCATGGTGGAGTCCCCGCCGTCCCACTCAAAATGATTGGTGCAGAGCGTCCGCACGCCGCCGCCAGGGGCCGCGGCGACGGCGCGGCAGGCGCCGTACACGCGGCCCGTTGGGCGCCTGGACAGGGGCGGGTCAAGGGGGGAAGGTGGTGCAGTGGGGAGGACGGCGGCAGGGTCGGTGCGATATGCCTGCGAGGGATGCGCAGTGACCCATGACCCAACGGCCCCGACCTAGGGGTAGCAAGGCGTCATCCCCCGCCGCGCCCCCCTGCGAGCGGTCTGGATCGGCGTCTCGCTGGCGGCCCCTGCCCGCCCCGCTGCCGCTGACGTCATCGCCCTCTCGGGGGGCCGAATGGACGCTCACCCGCCCTCTGAAAGCTCAAGGTCGAGGAGCAGCTGCCCGCCCACATCCAGGCCCCCTTTGGCTCCAGTGCTCGCCAGCTGCGCCACCGATCCCCTGACAGTGTACGGCACCGTCGCCCAGACCTTGCGCGCCGCCGCCGGGCGCAGCTGCGCCGCGGCGGCCACGCACAGCGCGGCGGCGAGCAGCGCGGCGCGGGACGGCATGGCAGCTGCTGCTGCCTGGGTGCCTTTTTTGAATCCTCTCGTGGGCTTGAACACCTGGTGTTCTGATGCCTACGTGTTTGTGGATTTTGTGGGGTTTAGATGGATCAGGAATAAATAGGGGCGAAAGCGGCGCAAGGGCCAACGCCGCTTTGCCCGGCTGGGAGGTGGTGCAGTGGGCCACGGTCGCGCATTGTGCGGTGTCTTTATGGGGACTGCGCAGGCCACCAGTCGTACGCAACACATTCCTATGTGCACAATGCAACTGTTTCAACATTCATTCCGGGGGCTGCGGCGCCCCTTTCGCTGAGGCCCGGAGTGCCGCTTTTTCATGCCGTAGGTGGGTCGCAGCACCAACGGCACTGGCGGCACGCCGTCGCCTCCATTGTCACTGCGCGCGGGGCCTCATCTCACGAAAAACGGCTGCTTCGTAGCCGAAGAGATCCAAATCAATCCAAAATTAATACTCACCGTTACTGCAGGACGCCCCACTCACGACTCACCCGCGCTTGTGTGAAAGTCACACAGCGCGCAAAAGTCTCGTTGTGACAAGCGACTGTGGTGGGATTTACACACAATCAATCGGATACTTCACTAAGCTCGCAAGTTGCGAGTGTTGTGGGTGCTGTCAATGCGAGCTGAGTCATGCAGTCCGCGCCAGCGCCGCTGGCATCAGCGGTGTTGCCATCCACTGCCAAGCCCGCGCCTGGCTGCATTGGCATCAGTCGATCTGAAAGGTTCAGCTCCAGTTTGTGTGAGGACCAGAAGGGGCGGCGTTGGCAGTCGCCTGCGCTGGTGGCCCCGTAGTGCGCTACGGCTGGCACGTGATGCATGTGTGCCCAACAGTGGGCTTACACATAGTGGAGCCTCACGCGTCAAGCGATGGGGCACTCGACCCGTGATGGCCGTGAAGTCTCCTGGCCCAGCTCGCAAGACAGACCGCATGGCGACCAATCCACAGTCAAAACGACGCGACAACCCGAGATGCCGCATGCACCGCACGCACTGCACGCACGCATCGGCTGCCCCTGGCACAGCGAGGGGGAAGCCTGCAGGACAAGGGCACGCGGATGGCTTGATGAAAACCCCTACATGGTCATCGGCTTGCAGGAACCGCACCGAGTGGTGCACAGCTCGTGTCCCAAAAATCCGCCGACGACAAAACAAAGATAAAGATCAAGATGTGCTTGAGTTTGGGTGCGCGGGCGCGGGGCCGCGAGAGTGGCTGAAAAGGGGCGCAGTTTGCGCCATCAAGCGCGCGAGCTGGCAGCAACGGTTTTGCGCAGATTGGGGTGCTCGAGGGCCAGCCAAGACAAACACAAGGACAGCGCGCTTGCCCGGCGTACAGGACGAAAAAGCGCAGCCGAGCAAATGCAATTAGGCAGCGGGGCGCGCACGATTCAGGGCGTGGCTCCTATGGCATTGACGGGCCGCCGCAGCCTCTTTGAGGGGCGCATGGGTGCATTCAGTGGGGTGTCTGGTGGGAGGCAGGCGCAGATCACTGCACTCCAAAGAGTGTTTGCTCAAGTGGCGCAGGCCTTGGGGGGGGAGGGCCTGCCAGCGCCCGCGCGGCCCCAGCCGACAAAAGCCGTCAAAGTGGCCCCCCAGCAGACCCCTGCGTCGAAGAGCCGTCGCTTCCAGCAGCCTGACGCGGCAGAATAATGATCAAAACTGTGGAGTGGAGGGCATGCCTCTCCGGCCGCGCCGCCGGGGCAGCATCAAGGCCTGACAGCGCCGCCCGCTCCGCTTCCGCTCGCAGGGCGCGGGGCGGCGCCGTCACGGCCAAGCGCGGCCGGGAGGCGAGCTCAGAGCGGAGAGCGCTATGCCTGTCTTGCAGTAGAGCAATGAGCACAATGATGTCGCCATACTTTGAGGCCGAATTCGACCAATGAATACAAGTGCTTGCGGCGGGCGCCCGCACGCTGCCATCCACTCATCCGTCGCCGGGCTTGCTCGCCCAGCCGGCGCGCCCAGATCGCCAGATCTCCCCCAGATCAGAGTTCCTCGCACCGGCCCCAGATCAGTACTCCTCGGCGATCACGACCACCCTGTCGTCGGGGCCGAACACGACCTGGTGGGACGCGTGCGGCGCGAGGACCGCCAGGCGGCCGGCCCTGATGTAGCCGACGGCGGTCTGGCGGGTGAGGCGCACCGACTCCGCCAGCTCAGCGAAAGACATGGCCTGGCGGTTGCGGCAGGGGGCGGCACGGAGCGGCGTGCCGTTTCAGAGGTGGTAGGTTTGGGATGCGTCCAAGAACGCGCAGCTGAGATTTGCGCGCAGTCGGCGCATTTGTTGCTTGATCAGTCGGTGCTCTTTTCATCTCCACGCTTCTGGTTGGGTTGGTGTGTGTACTACTGCACGCGCCAGCCAAGGGGGCGCAGAGCGCCCACAAACGTGGAGGCCTGCGCCGCCCGCCCGCGCGCCCGTGCCCGCGCCCGCCGTCCTGTCACCTGGCCGGGCACGATGTTGAAGGAGGCCGGGTTCCGCAGGTACAGCTCCTGCAAGGCGGCCGGTAGAGGCGCGACGTCGGCGCGGCCCGGCATTCAGGTGCCCGCTCGCGCCATGACAACCAGTCAGGTGCCCGCTCGCGCCACGACAACACAGTAACGCACACAACGCTGGCGCCGACAGCAGCGGCGCCGGTGCGCGGCGCCCCGCAGCGCTTGCAGGACAAACGATCGGGGCGGCCCGCTCGCCGGCGGCGCCTGCGACGATGCCAGTACTCCCTTGGAAACGCCCAATCCCTTCCCATCTTCAAGACCACTGACGCGTGATTTGGCAGCAGCAGCAGCAGCAGCAGCAGCAGCAGCAGCAGCAGCAGCAGCAGCAGCAGCAGCAGCAGCAGCAGCAGCAGCAGCAGCAGCAGCAGCAGCAGCAGCAGCAGCAGCAGCAGCACCCGCGCGTACCTGGCCCTTTGTGCTGTAAAGCAGCTCCCTCATCAGGAGGTCGTAGGAGCTCTCAGCCACCACCTGGGTCAGCACCGCGCTGATGACGTCACTCGTATTGATGAAGTCTGCACGGGTTTGGGGGGGCGCGGCGGTCAGCGGGATTGTGCGCCTGTCAAGGGATGAAAAAGAAAATTGGAATTGGAGGGAACGGCGCGTCGTTGGAGCAGGTGCAGCAATGCCAAGGGGCACCTGTGCAGGCGAGCCATGCACCGGGTCAGATCGCCGCTGCTGCGTTGCGAGGCAGCCGGAGGTTTGGAGGACAGGGAGGCAGGGCACCGCGCGGTCGCCGCGGCAGCTCGCTGGCGTCGTCCTGTGCCCAGCGCGGGCCCAGACAGCGCCCACCCACCCGGCGCCTTGATTACGGCCTCGCTCGCCGCCTGCGCCTTGTCCAGCGCCGCCTGCGCTGCCGCCACGCCGCTGCCGCCGCCGCTGCTCCCGCCTCCGCCCGCCCCGCCCGGCTGCGCGGCAGCCGCGGCGGCGTTTGCGGTGGCGGCGGCCAGCGCCTGCTGCAGCTGCTGCACCTGCAGCTGCGTCTCCCTTAGTAAGGTGTCAAAGTACTGGTAGGCGAGCTTGCTGGTTGCGTAGCGCCGGATGGGCGCGACGACTGAGGATTACACGCAACGGGAGCCAGATAAGAAGGTTAAGAGTCGTATGGGATTTCCTGGCGCGCGTGCGCCCCGAGGGTGGGCTTGGGCTTGACCTTGTGCGGTGCTGCCGAAGGACAAAGCTGCTCTTGTGCTGAGGGACGAGCTAAGGCGCAGGCGCGGGAGCGCGCACACGCGCGCGGGTGTCGGCGTCGGGAGAGCCTGCGGCCCCAAAAGCAGTCCAAATTACAGCCCACGCACCGTGCGGCGCGCCCTTGCGCTTGCTGGCCATCACGGCGTCCTGCACCTGAGAGGGGCGAGGAGGGGGCGGCGGCCAGGGTCGCATCGCCAGGGAGCGTCTGCACTTTACCCATAGAGCAGCGGCCGCGGCCGCGCCGCCGCGAGACCGCAAAATCTGGCACCGCCGCGACCTGCCGGGCATCCGCACCCATCCGCCCTCAAGCGCCTCCCGGATGCCGAGCGCTGGGCCGCGCTTGTGATCGGCGCGCGCGCCGCGCCGCGCCGCAGCGCCACCTGCATGCGGTGCTCTGCCCCGCCTGGCGGCGGCGCGGCGCTGATGTGGCGCCCTACGCCCCCCCCACCCGGCTGCGGGGCTTATCACAATGGCACTGCACGCACGTGATGCTCTCCCCCCCAACAAAAAACACCCGCGCGTGAGGCCTCGCACTGCGGCGCCACCTGCATTTGACGTTCCTGAACCCCACATGCATTCGACGCTCTGCGCCCCCCTCCCCCTTCCTCCACACCTGCATGAGTGACGCGAGGACCTTGGCGTCTGTCTCCAGCTCAGGCCCCGCGGCCGCCCCCTGGCCGACCACCACGGTGTCTGCGCTCTTGATGCCCGCGTCAATGAGGATCTGGGGGTGGGGGTGAGGGTGAGGGAGGGGTTGAGTGGGGATGGGGTGAGGCGGGGG